ATCTTGTCCCCTTTGAACTCCTGATTTAGAATCCTAAAATTTTACTTTTGCACCCGTGCCACACTTAATTATTTCTTATATCAAACACATAGAGCTGGTAATTCATCCTGTGAGATTGAAAATTCTTTTCCATTTGCAGAGATCACAGCCAGTGTCTCTGGGGGCTCTGTCCAGGGGGGTTCCTGAGCCCTGCCAGGGTCCCAGACCTGCCAGAGGGAAGCCAGAGGGAAGCTCTGGACTCCCACAGCTGCAGAGCTCTGGGTGTCTTGCACCATCCAGACTGGGGATAAGCAGCAGTCAGCCAGAAAAACAGGAGCATTTGACTGCTTGTTTTGATATTGGTGCTGCAAAAACAGGGGTCTGGATACTGGGATATCTCCTGGGATGCAGGGTCAGCAAACCAGGGGGTGTGTCACAATAAGAGCTGAATATTTCCCAGATTTTACATCCTCACACAGGAAATGCCCTGTATTTCTTTGTGGGGTCCCAGAAGACCTCCTAAATTTTGGGGTGAGGGGATTTTAAAGAAATCCACCACTAACTCCAGCCCAGGCAGGGATGTGGAGGGGATTGCGTGCACAGGTCAGGGTAAATTTGCCTTCCCAGCTTGGGCTTGTTTCTGCCCTGGCCAAAACTTGCCTGTTTGCTGGGAATGAGGAGAATCTCTCTGATTTATATCCAGCCCTGGCTGTGGCTCTCAGGACCCCATGACTCCTCTGCCCCTGTTCTTGCGGGGGAGTCTTGTCCCTGGAGGGGGACAGCTGTTGGCAGGCAGAATCCTGCCAAGCTTCATTTAAGACTCTTCTAAAAAGGGTCTTGGGGTTTTTTTCCTGCTCATTTGGCATGCACCAGCTCCACTGTTTGGGTTTTTTCCTTTATGGAAGAGCCAAGGTTGGTCTCCCTAAGTCACTGGGTGTTTCAGTGCTCACATCTGGCACTGAGGCCTCTCAGCCGTCACCCTGCTGTGTCGGAGCGGGGTGGCACCAGGGTGACACGTCCTGGGCACATCCCTGAAGCTCCCAAGTGCTGAGATCTGCAGAACCACGCTGGCACCTTGCCCCTGCGCCCCCGCTACCAGCGTGGGTGCAGGGATGTGCCCCTTGACGGATTTATGGATTTCTCCAAACACCCAGCTCAGCATTCCAAACGCTGCAAGCATGGGCTGCTCCAGCTCCCCACCCAGCTGCCTGAGGGGGATCTTCTGCCTGTGCCCAATGCACCTGAATTTTCTCACCATGACCACATGGCCACTCCAGAAATTCCAAAACTGCAGGCAAGAGGCTGCCCAGGGGTGATTTGGCTCTTCAGCTGGCCCCTACAGGGTTTGGCCATGGGGCAGGGAGCAGCTGCCTCTGCGAGGAATCAGAGCTGCCCGTGCTCCACAACTTCCCTCTCTCCAGGGTGTTTCACCTCACAGGCCACAGTCCCCAGATTCCTGCTGAGCTCCCCTCATCAACATAGCTCAAATTCCCGATCCGAGCAGCTCCAGGGTGAAGGGAGGCTCCGGAGCCCCTGCGTGGCTCTCATCCAGGATTGGGGTGCCCCTGGCTGTCCCCTCCTCCAGGCTCCTCCTATCCTGCACCCCCAGGCTCCCACCAGGGTTTGCTTTGGGTCTCCTGGGCTCCCATTCCATTGTCCCCAGCCTGGCAAACCCTCACGGGCTTTATTTGACCTCCTGGAGACAAAAAGCCTCCAGGCAAGTGGCTGCTGGTCTGCCAGGAGAGCAGGGAGCAAATCTCTGCTGGCACCAAGCACCCTGGGGCTCTTCAGACCTATGGGAGGGGTGGCCTGGTGAGGTGCTGAGGTGGCTCCAGCACGGCCGATCGGCCCCAGGGTGTGCCAGAGGATTCCAGGGAAGCCTCGGGGCACTCTAGAAACCAGGTGAGCGGAGGGAAGTGCATTCCTGCCCCGCTAAATCAGCACAGGCATCTGTGGTGGCTGATCCATGGGGCAGCCGGTGGGATGGGGTGACTCGGCCTCCTGGAAGCCACCGGTGCTCTGGGGAGAGGGACACCCCCTTTAGGGACACCTCCCGGGTCCCATGGGGGTGCAGGGACCCTGGTGCCACCCTGCTCCATGGGAAAGGTCCCACCTGGCCACACCGGCCCCGCCAGGGCGGTGCCTGCAAGTTCCTGTAGGTTGGAGATACCGATGAGCTGTTGCAAAACTATTACTAAGGCAAAATCATTTCAAAAGTGGGTTACAATTGCGTAATCGGGGACTCTCAGCAGCTCTTGTGGTGGGCCCACAGCTGGGGCACGCTGCGAGGTCTCTGTCTCTCTGCCCAGACTGTCCCTGCAGGGGATGGGACATCTCCTGGAAGGAGCTGCTGGTGTTCCCCGTGCAGGAACGTGTCTGTGCTGATCTCCCTGCGGGATGTGACCTGCCTTTTTGTTGTTCAAGCCGTGCGTGTGTGTGCATGTGCGCAGCGAGAGCCTCTCCAGGAGCTGTTTGCCAGACTCACCCAGTTACTGGGAACCAAACCAACCACCCTTCCCCTCCCCTCACAGGCTCAGACAAACCCTGCCTGTGCAGGAGGGCTGTGCCTGGGAAGGAGCTCCCCTGCTCTGAGAGGCACTCAGAGAATCTGGACACCTTCCTCTGGCTCTCCCACCTGGACAGGTACGTGGGGCACAGGGTACTCTGGGCTGCCAGGGTTGAGGGGGGACAGCCTCGTGGTGTAACGGGGGGCAGGTGGGACCTGGAGCTGCTGTGACCGTGGGGTTGGTTGTGGGGATCCCAACATCACACAGTGCCACTTTGGGACCCCACAGGCTGTGCCAGGGTCGCCATCCCATGGGGTGGTGAAGGGGGATGGCACAGCGTGGCACCCCAAGGGGCAGCAGTGGCCGCCCCAGGCCTTGCATCTCTGTCCCACTCCCAAAAGAGGCAGAGACCCCCCGAGAAAAGTGTCTCTGCTGAGTTTGCAGCCTTAGGTGGGAGCGGGGCGCTGTCGGGTCCAACGCCCTGCGCCCACACGGGGCAGGACCCGGCTGTGACGCAGTGGGTTGGCATCCCGGGGGCTGGCAAGGGTGCCGGGCTCTGTGGGAGGCAAACCAGCACTGCCGACACAGCTGAGCACACCTGAGCACTGCTCCTGCTCTGCCCGGCTGCCACCCGGCACTGGGGAGCCCCGGGGGCTCACGCTGTGTGCCACGGGGACTGGCACGGAGCTTGGCACGGAGAGCACAGCTCCTTCCTGCTCCGCTGCGGGTCCATGACCGGAGCCGGCGCTGGGCTGAACCGGGCACACGGGTGCTGGGCAGGTGGGTTTTGGGCAGCTGGGTGCTGGGTTGGTCTCACTGGCAGCAGGGATGGGGTCATGGGTGAATTGGCAGGCTGGTGAGGGGGCACAGGCTCTGGGGGCATGGAGGTTCCATCCACGCCAGCTTTTATGGGCAAACCAGTAGTTCCCCTCTCCCAGTTTTAAATCCAAGGGTTGGGTGGGAACACAGTGATTGCTCCCCACCCTGACCCCTGCCAAGGGTTTGCCAGGGAGGAAGATCTGCTTTTAGACGGGGCAGTGAGAGAAGGTGTGTGGCCATGGGCAGAGGCACAGCCCTGGCACTTGGCACACGCTGCCAGGGACCCCAGCCTGGAGCCACTCAGCCCAGCCACCCTTCCCGGTGTGTCCCTGGGACAGAAGTGTGGGAGCACAGCCACAGGTTCGTGGCTTGCTGCGGGTGGCCGTGGGCAAGGACAGGCTCCCAGAGTGCTCCATGGGCTCTGGGCAGTGCTCCAGGTTCTGTTCCGTCCCCACAGCCCTGGGACACCACAGTGCACCGGATGAGAGGACTCTGATCACCAGCCCGCCATCGCACCCTGGCTATGCCCCGTGCTGGACACTTCCCACCCCACAGCCCCCGGTGAGCGGGGAAGGAGCCTGAGCCTCCTCCAGGTACGTCTCGGAAGGCACCGGGTGGGCAACAGGCAGCGCAAATTCCTTAAAAGTGAGAGCAACCCAGTGTTCTGGGAATCCCTTTGCAGGGCAGGCACCTTCACAGCCCAGAGGGTTGTAAAAACCACCTGGGTTTGTAAATCCAGGTGTAGTAAAGCTCCCGGTCAGGCTTGGCGTGTCTCCTCACACAGGGCAGCCCCAGGCTGAGCTGCAGAGCCGGTTTGGCTGTCGGGTCCTCCGGCGTTGCTGCTGGAGCAGGAGCAGAGCGCTGGCCAGGGTGACATGCTGGTGACACACGCAGACTGTGACACACGCACACTGTGACACGCATGGACTCTCACTTTCTGTAGCCCCGCTGTCACCTGTGTTTGGGCTGCCTCAGGTATCACCTGGGAGACACAAAACAGGTCCCTGGCACCCCAGCTGGGAGAGGAGCAGCCATTTCCCCTTTGGCTGGTGATCCTGGCCTGCTCCTGCAGAAAGTGCTGCCAGTTTGCACCAGCACACACAAAAAAAAGAATCAGGCACAGAGCTGGTGGCAGGGACTTGGCCAGGTGGCTCATCCCTGACAGCAAAGGTTCCGTCAGAAGGAAGTGCAGATAGACTGAGTCACCTCTGCCACCAGGAGTGTGGGAGGATGGGCTTTACTGTCTGCAAGGGTGAAGAGCCCCCGTCCTACATGAGTGTAATGTGGTGGGGGAGAGGGTTGAGTGTCAGCGAGAGATGTGCAGCCCAGTGGTGTCTCCCACTGCTCCTTCTGCCTCTCCAGGTTGGGTGACTCTGGTCTCCCTCAGCTGCCATGGATTGGAAAACGCTGCAGGCGCTGCTCAGCGGGGTCAACAAGTACTCCACAGCCTTCAGCCGCATCTGGCTCTCCATGGTCTTTGTCTTCCGTGTGCTGGTTTATGTGGTGGCAGCCGAGAAGGTCTGGGGCGACGAGCAGAAGGATTTCGATTGCAACACGCGGCAGCCGGGCTGCACCAACGTGTGTTATGACCACTTCTTCCCCATCTCCCACATCCGCCTCTGGGCCCTGCAGCTCATCTTTGTCACTTGTCCTTCCCTCCTGGTCATCATGCACGTGGCCTACAGGGAGGACCGCGAGAGGAAGAACCGGGAGAAGAATGGAGAGAATTGCCCCAAGCTCTACAGCAACACGGGCAAGAAGCACGGCGGGCTGTGGTGGACCTACCTGTTCAGCCTCATCTTCAAGCTTATCATAGAGATCCTGTTCCTCTACCTCCTCCACAAGATGTGGGACAGCTTCGATTTGCCACGGCTGGTCAAGTGTGCCAACGTGGATCCCTGTCCCAACACCGTGGACTGCTACATCGCCCGGCCAACCGAGAAAAGGGTCTTCACCTATTTCATGGTTGGAGCCTCCTCCATCTGCATCGTCCTCACCGTCTGTGAGATCTTCTACCTCATCTTCAAGCGAGCTGTCCAGAGGGCAAGGAAATGGAGGAAATCCACCAAGCGCTCCGTCAGCTACAGCAAGGCCTCCACCTGCCACTGTCACATGAAGTCAGAGGAGAAGGACAACAAGTCCCAGCCCAGGTGTGTGGCAGCCCTAACTGCTGTCTGAAGGGTGCTGGGAAGAGTGGTGGGGGAAAGTGTCCTGGTATGTGCCAGGGATGGTTGGAACCACGGGTGACCGCCAGACTCTTCAGCCAGGACCTCAGTGGCTGTAAGGGGAGGGGGACACATCCCTGGGAACTCTCCTGCTTGGGATCACGGGCACATCCCTGGCTGTCCCAGGGGTGTGGACACGCTTGGTGGCAGGTGGGTGCTGGCTGTCCATGGCCATGCCTATGTCTGTTCTTCCCACAGAGGAGAAGAGCTGTGAGCACACCCGTCCCAGCCGGTTCACATTCCCCTCAACTTGGCTTTTCCAGCCTGCCAAATCCTCAAACCCTCAAGAGTCAACCCGTGTGAAAAATGACTAAACCCAGTGAAGTAATGTCCCCGGAGAGAGACCCATGGGTGCCTGAGCAGACACAGGTAAGGCAAGGACAGCTCTGGAGCTCTGCAGGTGGCAGTGCCACAAGCATGGACATCACAGCAGCACACAGACCCTCAGTGTCCCGCAGCTTCTCTTGGGTCCTGCAGCTCCTCTGCTCCCATGCTGGGTGTGAGTGCACCCAGCTGGTGCCCAGCCAAGGGCTGGTGTCATGCCAGTCCTCCCAGCTCACTGCTCCTCACACATGCGCTGCTTTCTTTCTTGCCAAGAAACCAAAGGAATTCTGGGCTCCGTGGCCAGGGCTCTCTTCATGCACCCAAAGTAATGACAAAGGACCAGGGCTCCAGTCTGTTAGCAATTGTTCTGCTGGCCCAGTTTGCCCGGTTTGCCATTTCTCCCCCTTGGCTCACACAAGCACCAAGCCATGTTCTGCCCAAAAGCCCTTGCTGGCTCTGCTGCTTCCCTTGGTGCCTCTGTGTCCCCCCTCACCTCAGATGCACATCACACACGGATCCAAAGGGCCAATAAATGTCGTGTTTGGAGACACCAAGATCTGCTCTGCACGCTGGAAACTGGGGGCCTGGTGAGGGCAGAAGACGTGGATTTGCAGAGGTTCCTCAGGAGCCCACAGCCAGGCCCTTCTCATCCGCCTGAGCTGGGCATTGCTTGAGCCCACAGCTGAGCTCACGTCCGCCCGTTCCGCCTCTCCCAGCCTGTCACGCGTCGTTAAACTTTAATTCAGCAGAACCTCACGCTGGCCCCCAAGGAAATCAAGGAGGGATGAGCATCAATTATTTACTAAACCTTGATAAATATTACAATAAATAGAAATGATTTCCATTTAATCTCTCCTTAAGCAGCACTAGCGGAGGGTCCGCTGTTCCCAGCTCTGCTCAGCCCGCCCGCGTTTCCGAGCCCCACGAGCGTGTTGGGGCGTGCTGAGACCCCCGACAGCAAAGCTCTGCCTGGAACCTGC